ACATTTAATCTTAATTCTCTACTTTAAGTATAAGAAAGAAGCAATTAAACGAATAGTAGAACTAAAATAAATATGAAGTAAGTTAAATCTGAAGAATTATAATTAAATTCAATTAGAATTAAAGATTAAATAAAAAGTAAATTAAATCACGATGCAATTGAAGTTATCGTAACAATAGCCATGATGATTTCAACTCGTTTTTCTGTATATACTAATGTTCCTTAAATAAGTTCGGCTGAAGGTTTCCGTTAAAAGTAATTATTTCGATCATAAAAACTTATTATCTAACTCGAGTTCAAAAACATTTATTTCTCCGTAAATGGTTCTTTTCAACTGTTGCTTTTAACCCTAAAAGGTTTAAAGACTTTATAACTGTTACCCATTGTAAAAGTAGGAGGGTATATACTTATATCTGTCAAAAAAATCTAAAGTGATCCTGGAAATCGAAGGATGTAAATTTTTTTCAGTCTTTCAAAGCTGTAATTTTTGGCATGATGACGTATGACTTTGGCGGTATTTGTGTTCCATTCGTATAATTTTGGGAATGGAATTTTAATAAATACCTATATTAACTTCGAAAAAAACATCATCTCCCGTCATTTAAACGTCTACTCCTTTTTCGCCAATTCTCGATAGCGTCTTGGTCATTTGCTTTGGAAGGAAAACCTACAATTATGACGTTGCAACTATTTTTGTAATAGAAACTGTTTATAGTGATGAGTTCTATTTACAAGAAAAGTAAAAATGTGCGTTTTTGTTCATTGAAAATGTTTAAAAAAAATAACAAAAATTAAAAAGTAAAGAAAACAGTTTTGATTGTTATTATTATTTAGTTTACAGATTATGATTTCGCTTGGAAAGCAGATTTAGAGACTGATGCAACTTTTGATGCAAAAAAATTAGGAATAATTGTTTTTTTTCTTCCCATGCTTAAAGTAAAGTATTTAAAATTCAAGAGAATTTAAGAACTTTGAAAAAACTTATTATTTTGTTTACTGAAAGTATATCCTGAAGTAAATTTAATTTTAAAAAAATTATTATTTTTCTTACACATAAAATCATTTCGTTTGAAAAGTCGATTCAAAAGAACTCGATTTTTTATGCAAAAATTTAAGAAAAATCGTTTTTTTTTTCCACAAACATAAAGTATTTAAAATTCAGGAGAATTTAATAAGAATGTAAACAAGTTTCTACTACTTTAACTAGAAATGTAAAAATTATTTTAGTACAACTACATTAATGAATTTACGAAATCTTGCTTTCACTCACCTTTTTATAACTCATAAAACAGAATTGACTTTCATACTTTCGGTTGTATTTTTAGTAGAAATTACTTAGATATAATTTATGAATGTGATATTATTTATGAAATAATTAAAGATAAATGAGATATAATTTATGAAATAATAAAGATATAATTTATGGTATTTCGATTTTACCTACATTGTTTAGTTTGTAATTAATTTCTTTACATATAACATTTACGGGAAGACGTGTGACCGACACACACATAAAACTTAAATGTTTACTTGAAACTCGAATAAAACTAAACTACTAATTAACAAAAAGCAAACTTTCATTTCGGATTCCTAATTTACTCTACACATCCTTTGGGTACATTTCTTCTTACTACATTTTTATTAACTTTTCTTTGGTCCTTGTAACGGTGAATCGAAATTTTAACCACTTTCCAACAAGCTAGAGCCTTCAAACTATTTTCCTGCTGACAATGCAAGTTTTTGTCATTTCCCGACCCCTTCCAGCAGAATTTATCGTCAACTTAACCATTTACTGAGTAGAAAAATTTATTCTATTCTAAATTTTTAGTTAAGATTTAGGACCTGCGGTCATTCGTCTGCATGTCTGAAAAGAAGCAGTATGCTTTGTCGATATATTTTTACAAATTTATTGTGTTTGCATAAAATTCGCGTTGCAAAAAATATGAGTATTACAGTTTTAGTAGTTTATATTTTTGTCAAAAATAAGGAAACAGATTTTAACAAATTTACAGATTTTATTATGAGATTCGAACTTTGGACACCTTATTGAGAGGCGAGTACTCTATTCCCTGAGCCACCATGACCCAAGGAGAATTATCGTCGTCCTGAATTCCCGACTCGTCCCAACTAGCTAAGAAACCTCAAGTTTTAACTGAAGGTGACAGGTTGTTTTAATCGTTTCCTGACTGCCCCATCATCATTTTATCAACAAAGGAAATTTTATCGTCAATCGAAATTCAGAAATTTTTATCTAACTTGCTTGAAAGCTCGAATTTATCTTTATCCCTATTCTGACTGACAATACAACTTAAATTTTTTGTGTGACCACTACAAACAGAATTTTTCGTCCTTTTTTCACCAAGAGGAATTTATCACCAATTTAATTTTCCAATTCTTTAGAGAAGCTAGAACGCCTAATTTTTAACTAAATCCCTGTGCTAGGTGACAGTGTAAATTTCAACAGTTTTCTTACAACAAGCAGAATTTATAGTCATTATCATCGGGCTTCCAGGTTTGGTCGGGTTGAGTCCGAACTCATTAACGTATAATGTTTTTTTTTTGTTTTTTTTTTTCAATTTTATGTAATGCTTAAATTTTAATATCAAATGTCAAATAACTGGCAAAATAGAAAAAAAATATTTTTAAAAACATTTTCTTTAGCATTAAAGTATTAGAAAACCTTGAGTGCATAATTTCTGCTAAATGTCAGATCTGGTGACATAGTGGGCCATTTATTCAAACGAAGGTGTTTTGGATATCTCTTCTAAAGTGATTTAGAAGCTATATGATACTGTTTAAAAGCTACCTAAATGAAATGAAATAAGACGGAAGGTCCGTTAATAAAAGAAAATTCATATTTTTTTTATTCATTAATAAAAAACTGCTATTATATGTTTAAGCGTAAGGAATTTATGAACTTTTTAGTAATGCAAATTTTAAGAAAAACAACTTCTTCATTATTTTGTCCATTACTAAAAAATGTAAACTAGTGTAATAATGTAATATGTACTAATATATCTACATAATAAAGCTAATAAGAAATTCATTATAATGCAGCTGTATATTATTATAGCTGCAATATAATGAATTGTAATTTAAAAAGTGTTTCTCACGTTTTTCTTCTCTTTTTTAGGTATGGATAATTACATTTATTCAACTGGTGAACCGTGAGTAGTTATATAAATAACATTTTATTTTTGGCTTTTTACATTACGTTTTGGTAAGTTGAAATACAATTTACGAGTTTTTCTTTTTTTCCTTTAAGTTACTCTAATTCTTTTATTCATTTTTTTCCCTGCTTTCTTGATAGCCATTATTTTGGATTATTCTTTCTAAGACAATTAAATTTTGTTTTACAACTTTTCAATTCTACTGAATTGTATTTTTGCGTCTCTCAACTGAATTTCCGAAAATAGTTGAATTTGGTGAATCAAAGTTTTACAAAAAGTCATCAGGACTTTATTACAGGGTCACATCTTACGAAATCGATTTCTTTTGTGTCAAATTTCATTTAAAACTTCTTCTTTTGTCAGTAACACGTTTATTTTTTTTAAATTAATGTTTTAATTCATTGAATGCTGATTTTTTTCCCGTAAAAAAAGAAGTAAGTACTTGTAGTTCTGTAAAAAAAAATTGACTGAGTGTAAAACTATTGAGTTATAGGTATTCTAAGAAATTTAGAATATGCTCTTATTTTTTTTAAATATTTCCTGTTATACAAGAATATTGAATAGGAAAATAATTATCAATTAAGTTCACTTCCTTATGTAATTTTTTAAAAGATAAAATTGCATCTTGGTCCAGTAAAGAAATTCTCCATTCTCTAATTTATGCCTATAGCAACAGGTACTTGGTACGTTGGGGACCATTTTAGATTTTTCAAGTATATGTTAGGGATTTTTTTGCAATTAATTTTAACTAGTTTGATTAGAAGCTAAAAATTTAAGGTATTTACATTTGAAATATAAAATTAAGGTTGACCAGTGAAAAAATTTTTATATTCTGTAATTATTTACAATTAGTTTGTTTGGAAACTAATATTTTATAGTATTTACATTTGAAATACAAAACTAAGGTAGACCAGTGAAAAAAATTAATATTCTATAATTATTTTCAATTAGTTTGATTGGAAACTAAAACTTTATAGTATTTACATTTGAAAATAAAACTAAGATAGATAAGTGAAAAAATTTCAATATTCAATGAACATTTTCAATTTGTTTGATTGGAAACTAAAACTTTATAGTATTTACATTTGAAAATAAAATTATGTTAGATAAGTGAAGAAATTTTAATATTCAATAATTGTTTTCAATTAGTTTGATTGGTAACTGAAATTTTTTATAGTACTTACGTTTGAAAATAAAACTAAGGTAGATAAGAAGGAAAATTAATATTCACCAACTATTTTCAATTAATTTGATTGGAAACTAAAACTATATTGTACTTACATTTGAAAATATAACTAAGTTAGATTAGTGACAAAATTATAACATTCAATAATGATTATCGATTAGTTTGATTGGGAACTAAAACTTTATAGTACTTTTATTTGAAAATGTGACCAAGGTAGATGAGTGTCTGAATTATACTCGTATAAGTACTTTATAAAATAAAATATCAAATTTTTAAAGAGTAATAATTTAATTTTTAATACGCCTATTTATGTTAGGAAGTGTATTAATTGAGAGTATTTATTTATTTATTCATGGTCAGCCTTCCTCCTTTTCTTAAGCTCCATGCATTGTATAACATACTAGTATAATCTTAAATGCATAAACTTGATTGAAGATTTTTTAGAATAATTATTTAAAATTACCTCTGAAAATTCAACTTAAATTTACAAAACTATGTTGTTTCAATATTTCGCTTTTAACATTTCTGACGCTTAAGAGTTTAACAACATATTGAATTAGCTTCTGGCCGAGAGATTGCTTAAATAGGTATAGCTTTAGCTTTTTCTACTAATGTGTTCTTGCTGTTGTTGCTTTACTAATATAGTGTCTCCTATCTTGATAATGAACTATCAAGAGCTTCTGCTGGCCTTCTGTCTCGCATTGTGCCTTCTGCTGTATCTGTGTTTGGTGCCAATGATTGTTGCTGCAGTCCACCCCCGTCACCGAAGATCCTTGCCCCGGTTGTGGTACCCATGCCACCGCCTATTGCCATGGTGCCACCGACACCCATTCCTGTCGTCAGCAATACTGTTGCCTCCAGTGTGGTTCCGATACCTGCCACTTGTGCCGACATTAACAGGTACTAAAAGATATAATATATGTCTGATTCTAATGATCGACCTGGTCATTAATGAATATTAAAAGTCTTGGCCTTAGAAGTAGATCAAATTATAGCTGTATAGTGCGACTTTTTTTTAGAAAAAGAGATTCTTGATTTTACTCTTTTACTTAATTATTTTAATCTTTTATTCTACGAAGAAACTTCGATATTTTTTGAAACATTTTTTAAAAAATTTTTTATTGAAGACAAAGCTTCTGGCTTTATAATATTTTAATTTTTTATTCCATAAATATTTTTTAATTTTATTGAAAATTTCAAAATAAAAATCAGTTTTTTTTTTTACAAAAATGTTAATTTTAAGATAAAGTTCCTGACTTTATCAGTATAATCTTTTAGAACTATGAATTTCGTAGAATACAACGAAAAAATGTCAATTTTTTTGAAAATTCGAATATGAAAATCAGGTTTTTTAAAAAAATGTTATTTAAGACAAAACGATATTGGGACAGTAAATAAAATTTATAGCAAAATATAGTGTAAACATAGTGTGGAAAATAAGTTTTTAGATTTAGGTAGGGATATTGGGCATGACCTCTATGGACTATATCCCAGGCCACCATCTAGTTTAAAAAAAAATCTTATTTCACTATAACATTTGAAATTTTTATGCAACGAATTTAAAAAAAAAAAAAAAAAATAGATAGCCTTAAAAAATAGATACTCAAATGCTCGATTCGAGTTTTCCATATTGTTTAAATATATCAAGATGGTTAAGAACCAAATGAAAATCAATATCAATAACTGCCGAAAATACTATCAAAACATTACGTCGATTTATGATACTATCGGTGAAAATTGAGCGTGTCAAAAACTGATTATCTAAATGCATGATTCAAATATTGCATGTTCAAATATTTCTGTAAAAAAGAAAAGTAATATTTTCTTCTTTTCAAGAGAAAAATCTTTCTGCAAGAGATCTGTNTTCTGCGTTCGGCAGTATAGGCTAAATACCAAATATTTGTATGTTGCATCTCTAATTTAGAAGCAGCAATTGCTGTTTATTTTTGCAAATTTAATTTTTTTAATTATAATTTTACAGTGCTGAGTATAGTCTTGTATCTATTTACAATTTAAAAATTCCTTAAAAAAGTTTTTGGCAATAACCGGACCCAATTGCACAAATTCATAAAAGCAGGACCCTGGTTGAAAGAATGTGACTTAACGTTTATTTTATATTCACAAATTACGAGTAATTTTTTCACAATTTTACAAAAACAGGACCTTTCACAAAATGTCTGGACAGACCCCTGTTATTATAACTATCGTTATACCCCACAATAATACAAAATCATTCAATTATTATTTATTTTAACTATTTTACTATCAGTTAAAATGTCAGATATCAACTAGTCCCTATGCAGTACCCGTGAATTGAAGGAAAGGATTCAACTCTGCGCCAACGAACATATAAAACTGTGTTTTCTATTAATTTCAAATCTTGCGTGAACCATGACGCCATGTTTAAATAAATTAATTTTTGAAATCCATTCCTATAGAGTGAAATTTGAAGTTTAACCGCTATACGAAACTCCTGGTGTGTTATAATTGAAGTAGGAAAGTAATTAAGATATTTCGCTGGCCGCTTTGAATTTCAGAGTAATTTAACGAAACATCAAATACCGAAATGTTGAATATTTAATTAATTCCCACGCATTTGAATAAAATAATTTATCTTTTGAGGGAGTAAAAGAAAATAACATTCTTTTGTCTAATGTGCTGTCTGGTATTTTGTGCTTAGAGCAAGATGCCAGACAAAAATATTAATTTGTCAAACGACTTGGGACTGAATATTTCTGCAGCACCGCCCTCAGTTGTTATGATATTTATTTCTAAGAACATTTAATAGCTCTGCTTTGTAATTGCAAATTAAGTTGCATTTTTAATTAAAACTTTATGACTTCTTGTGTTCTGCATTTTTATTTTATTTTAATTAGTTAGACTTCACACATTAGTTAGTCTTTTGCTTCACATCTTCTTTTCCTTTGTTAAATATCTTCTCAACTTTCCTCCACTTTCGTTTCTTCTTTTTAAAATGTTTGTTATATACACTCTTAGAATTTTCATTCTAAAATTGAAGTAAAATAACTGGCAGCAGTCTATCCATCCAATTAATCGTGAAGTTTACGGTAAAAAAACATTTTTTACCGTTACGGTATTTAAACCGTTTATAACCATGATACAAAACTATACGTTTTTTAACCATTTACTAGACTATTAGAGATTTCCTAGATTATTTCATGAAAATACCAATGAGAATGGTGAAATACCAATTAAATAAATCGTTATTTAACCATTTTTTGCGAGAAATTTCTAGCAGTGTACTGCTATGTTTGAAATTTAATTGAGCACCTATTTGTTATTTTGGTGCATGTTTTATGGTCATTTCTGATGTTTTTGAAAATGGTTTAATACTATATTATATTATATTTTCACTCACGTATAGAATACATAGAATTATGTGAATAATATGAAATATATATGAATAATATAGCATATATGTGAATATTATAGAATGTATGGAATATAGAGTGAAGATATAGAATATATTTTCACTCATATATGCTTTTTTCAATCTTAATTAATTGAAAAAAAGTAATTTATCTTTGTTAAAGTACATAAAATTTTTTAGTCATTTCGTTCATGTCATAATTTTGATGTGGATCAATAATTAAGATCGACCGAGATTATTGTTGAAGAATGAAATATTTAAGGTATCTGTCTACCATTTTTAAACAAATTTTGACTAAAAAAAAAAATCAGTTTTCTGTTGTTGTTTACATTTAATAAAATATAAAACTATGATTTTTTCTCTTTCTGGAACAGTTTCATTTTTGTTTCTACCTCGAATCGATCAGAAGTTACGATAATTTATTACAGCGATAAAAGGGTTTTTTTCGCCCTTTTCCTAAAAACTAATTTTTCGGTTATTTTCTTTCATTTTAAATGCAGTGTGTCAAAATATTTTAGTTCGAATGACTTGAAATTTTGCAGCAAAGTTTTCTAAACATATGTCAAGGAAACATATATAACATATTGTACATTAATGCTCGTATTAACTACAGGCTAGTTGATAAAACTAAGTTTCAAATTTAATATTTCCCTTATTTTAATGTTTGAAAACGGTAACAAAATCTTACCAAAAATGATAGATAACATTTTATTAAATTGATAACAAAATTAATCATCAATAGTGTATTTTATAAACAGGTTAGAAGTTGGTTTAACTTATCCTCTATTATAAAAAACTCTTGGGACAATATAGTTATAAGTTCTACTTTTATTCCTTAGTATTGTTTCTAGGTAAGGTACTTCGCAAATTCACAAAACTTTCACCAGATAATCGCACAATGCAGAGAAACATTTAATTACCTTCATGGAAACCGAAGTGTTACTCACCAAAAACCCTTTCTTGAATAATTTTAAACTGCTGTTTATCATTACACCTCTCTAAACCCTTAAAATGTACTGCACTCTAAAATCAAACAACGCAAGAAAGTATTTTTTTAAAAAATTTTTTTTAGTTTTTTTATGTAAATTGTTTTAAACAGAATAAGTAACGTTATTTTGATATAGTTTTCAGTTAAATGTTCAATGTTGTTTACCACCTGCTCCCTTTCCTGAAAAATCAATGTTTCAATACAACCAACATCCGCTCCGGTGATAAATCTATGTTTTTTGTTCTCTCTTAGTGTTCTAATAGAAACGGTAACATAGAATAAATGAAAGCGAATTTCCTATTATTTATTTTACTATCTCTTACACTGAGGTCTTTTTACAAATTGAAATTTCACTGTAAATGAATTGGATTGCAATGAAAACAACCATTGTAGAAAGGATGTTGGTTGATGTGAAAAGAAAAAAAGTTGTTATTTTAACTGGGTGTGGCTCTTGCGTTTCTGCCATTCAAATGATATATATATATCTGCAGTTTTTTGTGACTTTAACAAGTATAAAAAATATACCGGGAATTTTTTTTTCTTTTCCATTATATATTTTTGTTATATTTTTTTGATTTCGAAGTTAAATTTAAAAATATAATTAAAAATATAAATTTGTATTACATAAACAAAAGATAATTGAAGAGCTTAACGGAGAAGCTTGGAAACACGGCAAAAAAATAAATAGCACAATTTCGTACCATTTCAACATTTTGTCAGTCATTATCGAAAAAAGCAAATTATTTCTCTAAGATTCTTCCTTTGAATTAGGTTTTTATTAAAATTGTTTTTAACAAAATAACTAACGTTATTGTAAAACAAGTTTTAGAATAAAATATTCGATGTTTTCACCATTTGCCGTTTTCTTTCCTAAAAAATCTAATTTATTTCATTCTAAATGAATTGAATGGGGATGAAAGACTATTAAAAGGATGTGTGTAAGTGACAAAAGCAAAGAAAAGTGTCGCGGTGGCTCAGGGAATAGAGCGTTCGCCTCCAAATGAGGTGACCCTGGCTCGAATCCCAGCAGTGGCTGATTGATACAAATTCTGCTCTCGGCTCGCACCGACCACAGTGCTGACGTAAATTATTCTCAGTGGTTGACGGATCATGGATTAGAATCCACTTGCCGTCGTGCTAACTGTGGGAGACTTTAGAGGTTTTCCCCTCTATGTATCGCAAATACGTGTTAGTCACGTCATATAAGGTTATTAAAATTTGATTATCAAAAGTTCTCTAAGAAAGCCAGTTCTTTCCAGGAGTTATCATGTCTTCTGGGTTGGATTCAAAGTTACAAAGCTATGGAGTTGAACATTAACAGTCGTTAATCTCAGATTTAGGTCGGCTGCTCATCCGCAGTTATAAAATTTAAAAAAATTGACGAAAAGGCTTTTTTTTCTGCAAATGTATTTTTTTTTGTAACTGTAACAAGGCAAAAAATACTCTAAAAAATTTTTTTTTTAAAAATTTGAAAATTTTCTGAAGAATTATTTTGTAATTATTTGTATTTAATTTAATATT